AGGTAGGGCATCATTGACACCCCAGAGTCTGAAAGCTTTTCTCGCTGAACTGGGTTCTTGTTCAGGGATGTAAGGTTTGGGAAATAGGAACTCACGGATTCAGACGTTTAGATGCACTGCATCTGTCTTGTGTGATATCTGCGCGTTGCTGGGTCCTTAACGGAGTCTCCAAGATGTGGAGGCCCCTCCAGAGTTCGACCGCAAAGTAGGATCCTGACTTTCAGAAGCCTAGCCTCCGTCGCGATCAAGGTGAACACGGCGGCGGTTTTTACCGGTGCTGCGACATAATCAATCAAAGGGGAAAAGGAGGGACCCTTAATGGGGACCCCCCTACCCTATAATGGGCTATATAATGGGTATATAATAGCTATATGAAGGGTATATGCCCTAGGGGTCCTTATTTAGGGTCCCTCCTTTTACCCTTAGAATCAAATTGTGGCAAGGATGCCTCTTTGAACTGGTTCCTGCTTGATCCCTAAGTAAGACCAACAAAACCCCATAGACCGTAAACTCCCAAGCTCTCGAAGTATTGGAGGGCCTGAATACTTCACAATATCCCCGTGAAGTTCCTGTATAGCTATACTATAGGGTTTAGGCTTAGGGACGTTTAGAGTATATACCCGGCAACATATCCCAAGACCCCACTCCAGCTATGCTGTCACACACCCCCAAAAACCCCATGCTAATCCACGCTTTTGGTTAGCAAATACCACTGGAACTAAAAGCTTCAAGTCCGGAGATCAAAAAGCACGGATTACTCACTAAGGCCCCTGTAGATAGGGTCCTATTAAGCCCAAGAAGGGACATCTAAACATCCCAAAGGCCTACCTAGACTAAGGCCCTGTTTTGGGAATGAGGCGAGAAACTCCAATATCCCTTATTTAAGGAATATATACCCTTAAATTGAGTCAGTAGTGTCTTGATATGATTAGATCCCTGATATGATTTCAGGCATATTCCTTGAATTCCTTGATTAAGGGATACTACGACCCCCAGGCCGCCTTTGGTGCCAAAGCCGGTCTTCATGGAGCCAAAAATCTCCACCGACCTCGGGTCCCACAAAAAGGGCCCGTAGCGTGCGGATTTAGGGAGATCTAGGATCTAGGGTTTAGGGGTTCCGGCTTCGGGGGCTTAGGATTTTAGGGCTTAGGATTTAGGGTTTAGGGGTTTTGGGGTTTAGGGGTTTCGGCGCTCACACTCGGACAATCCAGGCGATGCAATTTTTCGGCGCTCACGGTTTAGGGGTTTAGGGTTTGGGATTTAGGGGCTTATGCAAGCGGTCAGCAACTGCTTTTTTGTTGAGCTCCTTTTTAAGCCTGCCCAATCGTCTGAGCCTACAGAAGGTCAGCAAGGGTTTCGGGTTTCGGGTTCAAGGGCTGAAGGTTCATTTTTTGTAAGCAACATTTTTCCGTCTGCTGCTGAAGTCCCTCACAGAAAACCGCCACACGGTTTCGGGTTGGGATGACAAGTGTAGGAAAACTAACATAATCGGAATACTCACGTAGTTTTCAGCAATATCAGCCCACAATTACGATCAAGAGCTCTACGAAATAGCATTGTTACTATGTAAGGCCCCTTGAGCAAGTTCAAGCGTAAGGCTTTTCAAGGGGTGAGGTTTAGGGCCCTCTTTTTCTTCTTCCGGAATTGAGGTTGGGGAGTCCGGATTCAGGGTTGGGTGACTTTCAGAAGCTTGATGCCCTACAGTCAGGAAGTCGAGGCCTTTCGGCTGCGACCGAAAATATATGCCTGGAACCGTTTAGACAGGAATTCATTCTCGCACAAACCTCTCAGGCCCAAAACAAGATCCCCATCTAGACCCGGCAGGCCCTAGATATAGGGACCCGGGCCTTGATAAGTAGAACCGCTTTGAGGGATGTCATACGCTGGTGAGAATCAGGAACTCTTGGGAACAGCAGCCAAACATAAAAGCCTTGAGCCCGAACTTCCCAAACCCTGACTCTCTAAACCCGACGACTCAACAGGAAAACTCCAGAGCTCTAAAGCCAAAATGACAACACAAACCAAAGACTTTAAAACCAAAGCGACGGGTCAGCCTTGAGCCCCCAAAAGCCTAAACTAGACCGTGAATACAAACAGCATGCCAAAAGGTGATGCCGAGACTCCACTGTTGCTCGGGTTCGAGGTCTCGGTTTCGATTCAAAGGGTTTGAGGATTCTAGTGTTTTTTTGGTTCTACAGGATTTTAGGGTTTTTTGGGGTTCTACGGGTTTTAGGGCTTAGTTCTTCAAGTTTAGACCTGTTGATCTCACTGCTGTGGAGATGTTCGCAACAAGGCTGTTTCGGTGTAAGCGAATCAGAACACGGCAGCTTCAGCTTTGGCTAGCAAGGGGCCTGTGTAAAGGGTTTAGGGCTTTTAGGTTTTACGGTTTTTAGGGTGTTTAGGGAATGAGATCCTTCACAAGGAGTTGTCCAGTGGGTTTAGGCTTGTGGCCTTCGCCATAGGTCTGGTGATCGCTACACCTCTCTCTCTCTCCAGGGCACTCAGTCGCTGTCAGGCCCCGCCAGCTTCCCTACACCTAAACCTAAAAACCTTACGGCCCTCAAGCCTAAAAAGGTTTAAAACCCTACGCAGTCCTCTAAACATGCTCAACCCCAACAAACCCTATCATACTGCACACACTCGGCTCGTTTATATTGACTTGCCAGAATCAGCTTGGGTGCTGCTGAACCCCAAACAGCCGACAACAAAAACACTCTCACTGCTATCGGTTGACGGGGGTTAAACGCTTGGCCGCTGATGCAGGAAACCCAACCCAACGTAGGACCCGAAATAATTGCCAACATTAACCGCTCAGCAGCTCTGGGGCCTTAACGGGCAATGAGAGAGCCTTAGTATAAGAAGGCTAGGTGTGTGCTTCTTTTGCTGTGTTTGTTTGGGTTTAAGGGTTTAATATCGTACATAGTGACGAGCCCTAGGGAATAACATTGGTAATTATTCAGGCATCGACATGACAGCTCTTATCTACTACTCTCAGTCTCATGCTCTTACTGATCCAAACCAGCCTCGGCCCGAAACCTGTACCACGAATCCCGCAAGCCCTATGCATCAAGTCCCGGCTGATCTTGAATTAAAGCTCTCGTCTGGTGCCCTGCTTTGGTATTCTATGGCAGAGGAGCAGGCCATTAGGGGAACAGACTCCCTTGGACCCTTAATAGGGACCCCTAGGTACTATACCCTTAATATAGCCATGATATACCTTCCATGAAACCTAAGCAAGATCCTTGGCTAGGCCCAGCGGCCTCCCAACCCTCAACTCTAAACCGAAGGCCTCTAGCCTCGTACCAGCCCCAAGGTGTCGTCGAGCTGCCTTCCGTAATTGTGGCTTCCAAGGCTGTGAGGCAACTCTTCACCTGGAAGAGGAGGCGGGGGGTAGGGAGGTCTTTTGACTGAGGGGGCGGGGCACATACACGGAGTCCTAGTATTGCGATCTTGTCTTAGGATCTAGACAAAAATGAATTTAAAAAATCCTAAGTACTAGTGTAGGCCTCTTCTATAGCTTTATCGGGCTTTTCCTGCTAATCAAGTTGGGGACTCTTGCTTATTCAGGCTTTTTCCTGGACCGTGAAGGTTCAACGGTTCCTTTAACGGGGAATCCTCCGGGAGTTCCTGGTTCTTTAAGCGGGAAACCCGTGGGGTTTAAGAGTTCCTTTACAGTGGAAATATTGAAAGTCTTGAAGTTGGGAGTGCACGAAGAGGAGAGGTTGAGATATTCTGAAAAGCTGGTAGTATGCTCTGACAAGCACAGAGCTAGAGACTGGGCACAGCGGTGGTCGTAGAATTAGTAGAAGCAGCAGTGGCAGTAGCAACAGCATCAGCAGCAGCAGCAGTGAGCAACAGCAGCAATGCAGTAAAGCACGAGCCTTCAGCATTTGCAGCGGAAATTGCAAGTTCCCGATCGTCGACTCCTGGAATACTACTTGCTAGAACCAAGAAACACACATCTGAACTCTGAACCTTCGTAATATATACCCGCGGCACATGCTTCCTGTCTTCCACCGAAATCATCAGCTGCTCGGCTTCCAGGGCGCGGTCCAGGCGAGCCTTACGATAGGGCCTTTCATTAGAAGAGGGTTCCTTTTAAAGCCTTATTATGAGAGTTCCTTAAAGGTTTCTATAAGCCATCAGTATAGGGGCCTTAATCATTAGAATAGGGTTCGGGTGCCCATTGTACTATAATTGTAATAAGCAACCCCCAAAATGATATAAGTACTGTAATTATTCAGGCCCCTATATTTGCATCGCAGAGCCCTGTTTGGCTTGGACTCTCGCGCAACTCGGACTCTGCAGATGAGGTTGGCCTGCCGCGGTCAAGGTGAGCTTTTTGGTCGCGGTTTGACTCTGCGCAGCAATGCGAAGATTCGTGCAACATTCCTCTCGCCCGTAAAACCTGCCGTCGGGGCGAAAAGGATGTGCTCTGAGCAAGCACCTGGTCCCTGAATACACACAGCCTGTCTCAGTCTTGGCACGCCTTCGGCATCTATGGAAACCTTGATGAAGCTCTGGCGAAGCAAGGCTGCACTGCATGCACGCAGGACTAATGTCAACTAATTGGCCTGTACGGTGCAAAGTCCCCATGAGATGGTCCTAACCTGTCCCATGTGGGCTCGCCCGTCGGCGGGGAATGCAAAATGGAAAATGGGGCGAGCTACCCGGAACCGCGCCTGAGCACTCTTCAAAACAAGGGCCTACGCCCAGCACTTGTTTGTTATTGTTTATTATTCATAGTATTCATGGGAGACAGCTGGGCCCACCGCCACAGCTTCTGTGCTCTCTCCAGGTAGCCCAAGCGCGCTCGGGAGCTCTCGAAAGAGCTGCGAAGGCCTCCTGCCTGGACAGCTCCTCCTCTTGAATGAGGCTTTGACGTCAAGCATTTGGGTACTTCAGCCTTTTTAGGGTCCTTGTTATACGGGTGCCGTGATTTTTGGAAGTGCTCACAAAAAGGTACCCTAATCTGGAGAACTACCCATGTGCTGGTGGCCTCAGGCAGCCTTTGCCTTGGCGGATCCAGAGAGGCGCATGCGAGCCTCGGCGGCCTTGTCCTTGAGGAACTGCGCGGACGCGACGGCCTTGCCTTTCACGGCATCCACACTGTTGGAGACCTTGTCCACGGTGCCCTGTCGGAACTCGGAGGCCTTGTTCATGGTGCTCTGTCGGAGCTCGTTGATCTGCCCGCGCTTGGCATAGGCGCCATAGCCAGCCGCACCACCGCTGACAGCGCCAGCCGTGGCGCCTGCGGCCGCACCGACGGCCAGGCCTGCACCGCCACCGATGGCTGCACCCAGTGGGATGGAAAGGCCGAACGTGAACAGGGCTGGGATGATACCGATGGCACCACCCACCACAGTACCTGCGGCGAGGCCGGTTGCACCTCCAGAAACTCCAAGCGTGGCTGCACCGCCAACGACTCCGGCAGCTGTCGCCTGCACATGCTTGTCCTGGACCACCTCCTTTGCCTTGTCCTTGGCCTCGACCGCCTTGCTCTTCCCCTTGGCGTAGGAGTCCAGCAGGGCCTTCTTGGTGCTGAGCACACGCGTTTGGATGCCGGTTTTCACGGAATGAGTCATCGCCTTGGTCGCGTCCACAGACCATTGGACTTGACTCATGGCTGCGGCTCTCGACTTCTGTACAGCAGCGGTCGCCAGACTCTTTGCTGTCTGAACGTTCTCGGAAACCCAGGACCGCACACCGTTCGTGCGCAGGGAGGTGTAGCTGGCACCCACGGCCTCCTTGGCCATCTGTGCTCGGCGGACACCGGCGCCCTTTGCTTCGGAAGCGAAGGCCACAGCAGATTGCCTCATCTGCCCGGCTTTGGACTTCAACGAATGCACGGACTCCACGGCGCGCACCTTCGCAGTCTCAGCCTTCACCGCTGCGAGCTCGGCGACCTCCACCGCCTTGGCACGCACATCTGCGATGACCTTTGCCCCCTCGTCGCGCAGAGCGTCGAGTCGAGTTGGAGAAGGGTCCTCCTCCTTGGCCTTGGTTGCGACGTTGAGCTCGGCTCGTTCGGACTTCACGGCCTTCATGTGCGACTTGGCGGAGATAGAAGGCGCCTCTGTTGCCGGAGTGGCCGGGGCAGTGGGCTTCTCGGGAGTCTGGGCCATGTCGCGGAGCTGACAAGCAAAGAGCTTCAAGGACGGCAATAGCTTGAGCCAAGCGAGCTTCTGTCGCAGACATGTTCCCCGTTCGCTTTGGTGTTGAGGGCTTCGCTGCTCCGCACGTTTGGGGCTTCTCCCATCTAAGTTTCTACGACTTCGGAGTTCAACCCTTCCGAAGGAAATGCTGGCTTTCTTTTGAGCTGCTCAACTAACTAGTCAACACCACACGGGTACAAATTTGTGCTTCAGCTTGGGCGGCAGTGCTCACGGGCAGGTGGTCTTGTATTCAATCGTACAACCGTACAACAAAAACAGCTAAGTCACTTACCCAGAACACTTGCCGTATCATGCCTGCGTAGAGACGACTCGGGCGACAACACAAACTGCAGTACTGTGGTGGCTGCTGGAAGCACGTGATGGAGACGTAGGGTTACGCCGTCTTGCGTGTCAAGAAGTTCCCATTATTTGAGGCCATACTCCAATCTCAACATAAGCAAGCCAGCTATTCGGCATACACATCAAGCACTTCCGCTTGCCCTCGGCCATGTCACGCCCAGGACACTCTCGAAATGACCGCACAATAGCTGACACAGTCGAAGGTATATTCTGTATCGGGTGACTTCTGAGAGGACGGCTACGGGTTTAAGAGATTGGAAAGGAGTTTCGGAACAGATCAAGTTTGGACGGTTTGGCAAGGGGTAAAGGGTGCCCATGTGCTACGGGTGTAAGTGCCAGCCACAAGATTTCTGCTTGAGGGGTCGTGGCGAGTCGGTAACAATCGAATCTTGAATTTGACACAATTGATTGGTGAGGAATCTCTAGACCGTCGATGTACCTCCTTGTTCCACTTGCCTCCGACATCTCTAGCGTGCGGATAGGGGCCTGGGTTTTGGGTCTTGGGATGTCGTGGGTTTAGTGTATGCCGAGGTCACACAACATCAGGCAAAAAGCACCTATTGACATGGGAGGCTCCACCGAAACAAAGGCTTCTCATGGCAATGAAATAAGCCCAGAAGCCGTCAGCTCTTCTTGGTTGGGGATCTCCGAAATTTGATGCCTCTTGGCAGTCTCTTCGAGGTGGAGGCACTCTGGGGATCTGAAGCCCCAACCCTAACCTTCCTAACAACCAGGAGTTTCAGGGAGGAGCTCAAATAACCCTGATTCTTGCTCGAAAGCAGGCCCAACAGCATCAACGAGCGCTGCTCAGCTAAAGCGCGTTTGGTTTGAAAGGTTCTATGACGTCCTGTAAGTGCGATACGGTTCTACAAGGGCTTTTAAGTTCTATGAAGGCTTATTCAGGGTTTCAGAAGCCTCTTGTAGGCCGCAAAGACCATGGGACCGAAATCGCAAACTCCCGACCGCGATCTCAGGATTGCGCCCTTTTTACAACCAACCCTAAACCCCAAACCTCTAAACCGCTGCTAGGGAGCGCACTGTAACGGTCATTGGTACTGATACAGCCAAGGATGGTCGAACCGGCGATGTAAGGCCATTCGCAGATACAGGACACATGGCATAAAACGTGGACCTGGCCCCACATATCATAGGGCCCGTATAATAATTAGATTGGGGGTTTTGGGCGTACTATACTAGAACTATAACAATAAGGAACCCCCAAATGGCATTGGGGTAACTCTGTCGGCCCCCAGATTGATGTAATCGTAGCCCCATAGGCCTACAAGCAGGAGGGAGGACGCGCTGCACCCCTGCAATCAGGCTTCCTTCATGGATCCGCACAGCTTAGGGTTTACGGATTTTGGGTCTGTGTGATGGCGTGGCCTCGGGGCAGCTAGCCCCTGGTTCAGGCTTCAGGAAGCAGAGACCAAACATCCCAAAACCAAAATCAGAAAGCTGAGCTCCTCAGCCCAAAATAGGCCTAAGTACACCTCTTCCACGGGACCGGCAGCTTTTGCCCAAAGCACCCCAAAACAGCGCACCAAGTCGAAGAATTTTGCAGCAACATCGAGACCCGAATCCTGAGCCCGAATCCTAAATCGGTCAAGCCGCAAAAGCTTTAGCATCTGGCCATTCATGGATCCCCATTCTTGAGAAGCACCTCCTTGTGTCGATGGCGTGGGGTTTCGGGCATCTGGGGTTGACGTAGGACTTCTGCATTTGGTGTCGCGGGAACGACTTTTTTTTGGTACGGAAGCGGTTACTGTAGGCTCGTTCTGGGGTTTATAGTTTCGAAATGCAGGGAAATACCTATTGTCTTGTGGAGCTGTCCTTACCCAAAAAAACCGAAGGCCATCCAAGATGGATCCTCATGTTCATTGAGGCCACTTTCTGCTTGAGCCCTACATGTGACTTGTGCCCCTTACATCCCCTTACATTAGATTTGCTAGATGTCTGAAGACTTCACAACACTTGCGATGCAGAAGCTACATCGATTCGCCTGACTCTTTCAATCCCAAAGTCCCGAAGCCAATACAATTAACGGCTCCCTTTTGACGCGAGTCCCTCGCCCTGGATAGGATCACCGTGCAAATGAGTGAGGCAATCTAGACCTAAGAGTAAGGTAAGAACAAAAAGGGTGCCTTTTTTGGTTTAAAGAGGATTATAAGGGAACCGAAACCCTCAAAAAGGGAATAAGGCCCTACTCTGGGTCCTAGCAATTCAAAAACCTTATCAAAGAATCGACAAGCTCGTACACTGGCGGACTGCCGCACCATGCAGTGCAGCGATAGCTCCAAGCCTTCAGCGTGCGATGCGTCTCCAGGTTCACGCTCATCCTCAATGCAAGATCAGGATTTGAGAACAAGGTTTCACAGGGTTTAGGGGTTTTAAGGGTGTAGGGTTTAGGGTTCATCTCAGCATTTACACACCGCGACAGAAGTTGGCTAGCGTTTGAGCTCTGGGTGCTCTGAATCATAAAGCCAAACGCTATGATCCACTCGAGTCTTCTCAGGTTCTTTACACACGGTCGTTCTTGTAGAACCCTGAACCATGGAAGATGGACCTCGAACAACCATCCATACAAAGGCCTCGTATGTGTGTGTATATATGTATATATATATATATTATATATATATACAAACCCAATGTTGAAGCATGGGGACACTACTACCAGTTACTACCAGTTCTTCAAACCCCTACATAGACCGTTCATCAACTCGAGGCTCACACACCGGCCCAAAGTCTTTAACCTGCCGAAATGTTGGAATAAGTGCATGCATGGATGCATGGATGGATGTAGGGATGTACACACATGTATACACATATGTATATAAGTACATATGTATATGTACATATATACACATATACACACAGTGTACACATATCCATATGCACATACATTATACATACACACAAATATATATATATATATATACACACACACATGCACGCACATACACGTCCATAATATATATATATATATATATATATGCTACCCCCCCCCGCCAAGACCCGCAAGAACTAGTAAAAGATCCTGATAATTCACTCCAGCATTCCTACATGTGCTATCCACGTGTGTGCAGAATACGGTGTAGACAAGATAATCTAGTGAAGTATTGCTGTTATCTGCTTAATAACTAGAATTATAAATATTTCATATTTTGAGCCACCCTAAAATTAAACATTGTTTTCCGTGCTGGCCAATATTTCAGACTAAGAGCCACTATATTAAATTTTCCCCTTCCTCACTGCCATATTATCAGAACTGATTGCTTCGTTGGAAGTTCCGTAAAGCATATTTCCACAATTATTGTTTGTATGAGCCAGCCAAACAGGAACAGATAACCAAACAAGCTCCGGAGGAAAACATCGAAAAGGAAAAGGAGTGTTTCTAATTGGCAGACAGACAGACAAATCTCAATTTCAATCGTAAGCACTAAGCCCTAGAGACCTTAAACCCTGAACCCTCAGCCCTAAGCCCTAGTCCCGAAGCCCTGCGTGTAGGTTCCAGGTCCCCTTGAACGAACCTAGCTGTTGATTAACTGACTCATTCCACAATATGACATGATTTGGATGAGAAGCCTGCTGTCTTCTAGAACCATTGGCTAGCCAATTTCCCTACATCGGCTTAATCCTTTCCCGTTGTAGGAAGTCACCCCTGAGAACTGAAATTAGTATTGGGCCCGGCGTGCAGAACATTAAGCGGGATTTGGGTTCGGCCTGTTTTGCAGCCCACGAACCCTGAAATTCTACATGTCTGTGGCCTGCGGCCTGCAAGTCACCGCAGCACTACATTCTCGAAACCAAGGCTGCCCGTAATCCTCTAGCTCCTCGCCTAGCATTACCTGCTCCCACATTATTACGAGTATTGACGTCAGATATTACCATCGTTGCCAACGCTCAGAGCATTTCGTTTAGCTTGAGTGGTGGTATGAGTACTAGTAATCCGTAGTAGAAAACCCTGCTGGCCACTGATATCACCAGTCCCTCGTCCTGGCTCGTAGTATTCAATGTATCCGTGATAATACTCGCAAAATCGCTGGCGTGCTACATGGGTTAGTTCAAGTAGGGACCAAACAACTCGTTCAGTTTACTGTCATAACGTCCATCATAAACTAAATTATGAAAGCACGGATATACCACTGACAAATATTGCCAGTAAATTTATTAGGTGACTGGTTAAATCAACGTTTTTGTGTATACATAATACTTTGACATACACTGTGTAAGCACCTGGAATTAGCTAATTATCTACATTACCATGGTCTGGTCATGTTTCAATCACGGGACAAGTGCATCCATTCACCAACCCATATGTTTTCAATTGCTTGCCTCTGGCATAGGGCTGTCAGAATGCAAAAGGTGAAAAACAATTACTCGGCTTGGCAGCAAGTAGACTAAATATGTGCTTAAACCGTTTGAAATGGCTAGCTCCTTATCTTGATATAAGCAGAAAATTTAACCGACATGCATTTAGATACGCCCGCATGCAGATTAGAGGCTTCATTTTGGCAATGATAGTGGGTTCCTATACATGAGTTGGACTGATGAATGGCCAAAAGACAACTAGTCTGGCACGTGACAAATGACAATGAAGATATAAGCAGAACACTATAGAATGGGATGTTTACTTAGTATTTCAAGTATGTAATCTGATTAACCACAGGCATGAAGAAGCCACAAGAAGCTTTCACATAGGTTAACTTTTTGAATGATGCCGCTATTTGGATTTATGTTGAAAAGAAGCAAACAGGGTCTTTACACACACCGGAACAACATTTTTTTCCTGCCTTGGCACTATACCAGATTCCTTTATGCGCACATGTATCAGCCTCTGTGCTTAAGAAAGAAACGAAATCTGGATGTCATGATGTTTCACAGGTTGGCACATTCGCAAATTCGCAGATTTGCAGATGACGGATACTTCAGCGGATTTGCGGATTCGCAGATTCGCAGATTCGTGGATTCGCGGATTCGCAGATTCACAGATTCGCAGATTCACAGATTCGCAGATTCGCAGATTCGCAGATTCGCGGATTCGCAGATTCGCAGATTCGCAGATTCGCGGATTCGCAGATTCGCAGATTGTATAGGCGCCACAACCTATGGTCTGTCAAATCTGTGAATCTGCGAATCCGCGAATCCACGAATCTGCGAATCTGTGAATCTGCGAATCCGCGAATCCACGAATCTGCGAATCTGCGAATCTGCGAATCTGTGAATCTGCGAATCTGTGAATCTGCGAATCCGCGAATCCACGAATCTGCGAATCTGCGAATCCGCAAATCCGCTGAAGTATCCGTCACAGCGAGGCCCTTTGAGCATCAGATACTTACACGTCGCGTCGCGAATCCCTCAAATTGAGAAGCCCTGAAAGACCTTGAACGTTATTGCAGCTGCATCCATATGCCCCGATGAAGTTGGGCAAGTCGAGAGTACCTGACAGCGAAGCGTGGGTTTTTGGGGGGGGGGGTACCATATATATATATATATATATATATTACAGATATACACACTTTGCATCCAGAAGCCCCAACTCCCAAGATGCCTCGTCGGGTGAATCCTTCTTTGACGCACCTCGGCGGCAGGTAAACGGGCAACTCCAAGCAACAGCAAGCGACTACAGTTGTTTTTGGTCTTTGTTGATGGAAGTAACTCTCGCTACTGTACTATACGTGTGTTTCTCACCGGTGGGAACAGTCAACGCCCGTTTTACCACTGGACTCAAGTGTAGCCAGCCCCCGACCCCCAATCATCTTAAGTGAGGCCGACACACGAGTCACAAGACAAGAGCTACAAAGATGTCATGCAATCTGCTCATGAAAGAATCAAAAGAAAGCAACCCGAAACCCGAACATGCAAAATCCCAACACCCGTATAAGGAACCCTTGTTACAAATAGGCTAAAGCATACTTACTCCAAGACCCCATTCTAAACATTAATGTTCCTGCATGGACCCTTAACCCTGAACTCCTAAACCCTAAACCCCAAAAAAAACCCTAAAAGCCCTCTGCTCTGAGGCAGCGGCGGACAGAGGATCCGGCGGAAGACGCTGCCGACTCGGAGCTCAGGCGAAGACTGTCGCCGCCTTTGCAAGTATCAAAATTAGGGTCCCTTTCTGGGTACCCTCAATATTAGGTGCCGTATCTTATTAGGGATCTAAAAGGGGACCATAATTTTGATAACTACACAAGTAGGAGATCTCGGATCTTGGGTTTAGGGATGTTTAGGGTTTAGGATTTAGGCTTTTTTTTGTAGGATTGAGGGTTTAGGATCAGGGATTTAGAGTTTAGAGTCTAGGATTCAGGATTTCGGGTCCAGGATTTAGGGTTTAGATACTGCCTCAGGACACGGAAAAGCGCTGAAACAGAACCAAAGGTGCAGGAGCAAGTCGGACTTCGGGGGTTTAGGGTTAAGGTTGAAGATTACCTTAGTCTCCATTGTAGTTCCTTTTTTGGTTTAACCAAATATGTAGTTGGGATCCTATAAGGTAACCCCGAAAAGGAACTACAATGGAGACCATAGGTAAAGTTTGAGGTAGAGAAAGATGTCGGTTCCCAGTGCTGAGGGCAGGTGGGTTGCTGGATTGGTGCATCTACACCCTGACTTGATGGCTGCAGGGTTTGGTCGAGGTCGCATTCGTCACTCTAGGGCCTCCAGGACTCTAGGCTTCAAGCGCCAAACTCTACATTGCCCTACATTGTCTTGACAGGAGCGGAAACTCGAAAAACAACACATTTCAGGGGCCCGTCCTGAAATATGTGCGGCGAATCAGGCAAAACTCTGCTAATCCCTAAACGCGGACACTTAATAATTCTTCAGCAACTAAACAATGAATCTCAAACCCCGAAATGTGAGCACTCCAGATCACGCCGAGTTCGCAAAACCCTGAAAAAACACGCTCGCACCCTAAACCCTCGGCCTTTTGTGCCTAAGGACACACAACCCTGAGCCCTGAAGCCCTTAAGCTTCTCTCACTTAAGAGTCAAGGCGCCATCCCAAGTCGATACCGTCTCCAATGACTCCGAGGCCTTAGTTTCACTTGGGATTTGCACATTGCCGCAAGGCCACTGTAGGATCATACGGACCCTTAGAGGGGTAGGAATGAGGGGGGTGTTGGGCCTTGATACCTTTTATAAGGACTTAATACAACTTACTTGGCTTATTTCAGGAAGTCTAGTCCCCGACCCCGATTCCCCCTTACACCCCGAAGGGTCCCTATGAGTAGAAGCCCTCTAGACACTCGAGACTGTCATAACGCCTCTGCTGCAGTCTGAAGCTCTGAATAAAACGGATGCCCAGACCCCGTAAGTATGTAGAAAAATAGCATTTATAGGTATTGGGCCGTTATTTGACCTACTTACCTTGGGGGGGGATTAGGTAGTTCTCTAAATATCACTTTTTGCGTCCTTGTATCACGCCAAGCATTATTAAGGGTGCCGTAGTATTTTGGAGCTCGAAAAAAGGACTCTATTTTAGAGAACTACCCTTTTAGCCTGGCCACCTTCGCAAAATATACCACAAGGGTTCCTGAAGCCTCCGCGACACACATGCAATTTATGGGATGTGCAGAACAACCGTGTGAACGTCTAGACTTAAGTTCCTGTGTAAATAGCCCGGAACCCTAAGCTCAAAACCCGAACTTTAGCGTGAACATTTCTCAGCCTGGGGCCTCAAGGTCTGTAGGCGAGACATGGATCGATTCATTTTAGAGTCCCTTACATTCCTGCGCAGCAGGAAGGACTCGGCAGAGATCGTTCATGAATCTACCTGGACCCTCAATGTACACTCTAGTAGACCCCAAATGCCCCTTACTTGGGACCTTATACCCCTATTTGAGGGTACAAGGAGGGTCCTTATAACACCCTAAGACTATGAAGATTGGTTTAGTTTTGTCCAGGGTGCACTGCGGGAGCGGCCTTCTTCCGGGGAGTCTGCCGAGATCTCGGACGCGGAGGATTTAAGGTGGGGCCTGGGGATCTAGGGATTTGGGACGTAAGCCTTGTTGCTTAAGCGCCCTTGGAACCATAATAAAAAAATTAAACATCAACCGCTCGAGAATGCCTCGGAGTTTCGTCATAACAGCCGCAAAAAAAACAGAAGTCCTAAGTAAGGCGGGTTTGAACTACAGCCTCGTCTGGAGATCCGAACTGCGAGAGTCAAAACGCCGAAAGCCTCGTCGACCTTATTGCATCAGGACTTGTGCCTAGAACCATGTGTATGTATGTGTATATATATATAAACATCTACAATTGTGACACTTTCGTCTAGACCCTTAACCGTGAAACTTCCGTCTTGGCAAAGGATGAAGGAGACCCCTTAAAGCTGATCCCCCTGTCTGAAAACCGCGGCTTGCAGCCTTAGACCCTACAGGGAACTCCAGAAAGTTGGAATATGGTTTCATGGTAGGATACCCTATGATTTACCATAGAAGGATTAGAATAATCATATTCCAACTTTCTGGCTTTTACCTTATACGCTAAATGACAGCATCACCAACCCTGACATGTAACACCGCACACGTTGATCTTGCTCTGAGATGTGCTGCTTGGATGGCATAGATACGTCCTATGGCAGGGTCTTGGTTTAGTTTAGTGTTCAAGGGCAGCGGGATGAACTATTTCTCCAAAGCTCGTCCCATACCATGCTTACATACTCTGGGTTGAAGCGCCTAATTGCTTCAAGAGCTTATGCCTTAAGCCTTAAATAAGAAAATTCACCCGTCATTCCGACCCGTACTGCGAAGCCTTGCTGATCTTGTTTTTCTTCTTCGCTCGTCGGGTCTTCCGACCGGACTTTGCCTCAACCTGACATGGGAGTCTCCGAAAATAGGGGACCCTTAGGGTTCCTTAAAAGGGTTACGGGTACTATAAGGGATCCTTTAAAGGACTCTATATGGCGGGAGTTTCCGAAAATTGGGGACCCTAATATCGCACCCTAAATAACAGGATCCTTGCTATCAGGACCCCAAAATAAGGCACCCCTAATTGTCGGAGTTCGGGAGGTGGGCAATCGGATTTGGGACTACCTGGCGCCTCCGTGCCAGAAGTCAGTTCTACGGGGTATTCTGATGGGAGGTGATTTTGAACCTAGGAAAGTCTGCAGTTGCCTGCGCTCGCCACTCAACGGCGTGCGGTGACCCAGTTGTCTAAGCTGAAGTCCGCTCGACGAATGCAGGATCCCCGTGGTTCGTTTCCAGAAGAACACGATTCACATGAAGAGCCCCAAACCCTAATCATCACCAGGGGATTCGTAATCGGGGTCCCTACATTTGCACAATCCCTGAACCCGATGTGTTCTTGGGGTGTGAGGATCCTCGGCCGTCAGGCCTCCTTCTGTCTGGGGCTTTGCAGGGAGCTGCAAAGCTTGGACGGAGGGAAGCAGCCAGAAAGACAGGAGAAATTGGGCTGATGCATCCGGCACAGGTAGGAGACATGCTCGAATTTGAAGCTAGGGTGAGGGCAGGACGCATATGTAAAGTAAATGTCGCCCAGACTACATTGCAAAAGAGAAATCTCTGCTCTCTCTCTCTCTCTCTCTCTTCCTTCCTTTCTTCCTTCTGCGGGGCTCTCTCTCTCTCTCTCTCTCTCTCTCCCCCTCTCGCTCTCTCACTCTCTCTCCCTCTCGCTCTCTTGTCTGAACTTGTCTGTTTCTTTCTTTCAGATGTAGTGCCAGATGTCGGTGGCACTGAAACGTGGTCCAAATGACACACACAAAGTTGTGCCTGCGGATGCATCAAAAGAGCGTGTTCGCAACAACGATAGCACTCACAGCCATGAAGCACGGAAGGCAACAAACACCGAAAAACTGAAAAACTTTAAAGCCTGCAGCCTGAACCCCCAAACCTAGCCCTAAACCCCCAAACGCTGACCTCTTACTAAAAGAACTAGGGTTTAGGGGTTTAGGGTTTAGGGTATAAACCCCCAAAGTCAGAACTTTACAGAAGTAGCTCCTAAACTCCTCGTAAAAAAACATACCCAAGCCCTCATCAGTGAAACATTGAACCCACCCGGCGCACCTGGTTTTCCGACTCCCCCTCCGGGGCTTCGACGGTGTCGCTGGCGAGGACCGATTCCTGCGCACAAAACTGGCTTTAGGCTTTAAAGGTTTTCTTTGTTAGACGCTCCTTTTCCGTTCGCCGAAGTGTCCAGAAAGCGGGTTCCCGCTGGGCGTATAGCCGACTGTATGAGGCTGACTATCGGAGGTTCGAACACACTGGATTCGATACAGGCTGTAAAGGTTAGGGTTTAGGGGTTGAGGGTGTCGACGCACACACTAGCACAAGGCAGGCATGGCTTCAGGCGCTATATCCGCTGAGCTTGCTACTTGTATTTCCTAGCAACCCCTTTGAAATAAGCGTGCCCTTTTTCCCACTATTCAGTTGTTAATAAGGAGACCCCATAGTAACAGGATGAAAGGGCACTGCTGTGGTTGCTAGGTTTGGTGTTCCGGGCTTTAGGATTCTTTTAAGGGTTTCTTGGAAGCGTGCGCTTTAAGGATTGATTCGATTTGGCGCTGTCAGGGTTTGTTCATCATGGGTGTTCGGTTCTGCGGTTTACCCTAAGGCTCCATAGTAGTTCCTTTTCGGGGCTCATATATAGAAATCTTCAAGGTAATCCCAAAAAGGTACTATCTTGGAGCCTCTGGGTATGTAAGGACATTGAAGGCTTTCAGGCTGTGGGTTTAGGACAGGCTGTAGGGATTTCAGATGGTTTAGACGTGTCGGATGAATTTATGCGCTGAACTTAAGTAGATACACAAGACTTGTCATTGAATTATGCAGGGGTTCTTTTTGTAGGGATCCTTGTTTCACGGACATGGTTCACTCTCTATCGCAAGATGAGAAGCAAGACTGCATCACGGTAGGCCTCTGGGCTTTGAGTAGATGCTGCAGGCTCTCAACCCACAGCCCTGGACACGACACCCTTAACCCCTTCGTGGTGTCTTACGACCATTGCGCCTCCTGCGCCGCTTCAGGGGCTGCGTCTGGTGCGGGATCCTTCGGATCACTGGCCGGGACCTCAGCTGCAAGACTTACTGAAAGGGGAGTTTCCGAAAATAGGGGACCCTAATATAGTACCCTAAATAGTAGGATCCTTATTATAATAAGGTACCCCTAATTTTCGGAAACTCCCAAAGGGATTATTCCCACCCCGCTTCGCTGTCTAGGTCGCACCATAGGGGATTAGGGATTGGGGCTAAGGGCATGGCTTGTTGTCTTCGGGATTGAGGGTGGATGAGGGTGGAGGGTTTCGGACTCAGAATTCGCGGTTTACGGTTTACGAAAAATCCAGAGCGTCTGGGAACATGTTAAAGACCCTCCTTCACCCCTTGTCTGCTCACTCTGCTAGATGATCGTATTGATTCTGGTGCACCTGCCTTGCCATGATGTACTCCGATGATAACCTCTGTATACAGTTGGCTGCCATCCAAAACTGCCAAAGTCTGATCATCCAAAATACGATACCCCAGACTCCTGAACACAAAAGAAACCCAAATGGGAGTTTCCCAAAATCAGGGGTACCATATTTTGGGGCCCTTATAATAAGGATCCTACTATTCAGGGTACTATATTAGGGTCCCCTATTCTCGGAAACTCCCAAATTGCTAACGCCCCCCAGCCACCCCTGGTTGGGTTATCTAAACCTCAAAAAGGTTAAAGATTACCTACTCAGCCACTAAGTATACCCCAAGGCCCTCCCCTAATACCTAAACCTTAAACCCCTACACCCTAAACCCTAAAACCCTAAACGGCCCTACACCCTCAACCCCTAAACCCCAAACCCCTAAACCCCTAAAGCCTACACCCTACGCCTTTGGAGAGGTGTCTGAAAGCCAGAGGACCGAAGCCTCCGGGCCTGCGGCGGCCCAGCGCTTGGCCGACGTGGCCACCTGAGCTGACCCAGAGACTCCAATATCCCTCAATTGAGGAATATACCTTAATTTATGGAATATTCCTTAATTAAGGGATATTGGAGTCTCTGGGGACAGAACCCCGAGGCCGTTTTTGGTTTAGAGTTTAGGGGTTTAGGGGTCGAGGGTTTAGGGGTTTAGGGGTTTTGGGGTTTAGGGGTTTGGGGTTTTGGGGTTTAGGGTTTAGGGGTTTAGGGGTTTAGGGGTTTTGGGGTTTTGGGGTTTAGGAGTTCAGGAGTTCAGGGGTTTAGGGGTTCTCGGGTTTGGGGGTTTAGGGAGTGGGGCTTGTTTGGGCTTAGGGTTTTTGTCCCTGGGCTTAGGGTTTAGGGATTAGGGATGATTGGGGTTTGAGGCTCCAACAAAGGGGCCGTAATTTTAAAGAGAGGAACAACAGTGCCACTATCATACGAGTAGCAACAATAACGATCGTCATGGTAACAACAATTGTCTTGGCCGCAGCAATAACCATAGTAACAATCCTAGCAGTAATGGCCGTAGTAGTATCCTCGTAGTCATAATACCTGCTGTTGTAATCAAATGAAAGTGACTGAAACAAGGGCAGGAATGAGAAGAGGTTTTCGGTGTGATTATGGCATATTTGTTCTTTGCGGTTCAGGGCTCTGACTCCCCGAAGTAATATAAATTCGAGCCTCTAAGTTTCTGACGAAACTTCGGGGGTTCGCCAGTGAGGCTTCATATTGAAGGGCTACAGTAGTTGGGATTATCCCCCCAATTCGGAGCCCGTATAGAAAGGATCCTTCATCCTCCCTACCTTGGTCCCACCTTTCGAGGCCCCGGATGCCCTACACATCCCTAAACCCTCAGCCTTACATCCTAAACCATAACCTGGGCCCTAAATCCTAAACCCTAAACCCCAAATTCTACATCCTAAACCCTAAATACCCTACATCCTAAACCCTAACCCCTAAATCCTAAACCCTAAATCCTAAATCCTAAACCCTAAGCCCTGGTTGCTGCAAAGCAGCATCCTTCACTGCCAGGAGCCTTTGGAGCAGCCCCTGTCCATCCTGCGGCTTGAGGCTTCTGCGGGGTTTAGGGTTTAGGGCTTGTAAGGCTCAGGGTTTAGGGCTCATAAGGCTCAGGGATTAGGGCTCATAAGGCTCAGGGATTAGGGCTCATAAGGCTCAGGGATTAGGGCTTAAGGCTCAGGGATTAGGGTTTAAGGCTCAGGGTTTAGGGTTCAGGGTTGAAAGTTTAGGGTTTAGGGCTCAGGGTTGCAGCTTCAGAAGACAAGGAACCTCAATGTAGAGCCGCTTAAAGAGCCCCAAGGTTAGGAGCCGCCAGGTTTCATTTTTGTTCAGGGCGTAATGTAAACCCCAATGTAAACTCGTGGTCATGGCGTGCAGGTACAACGAGGCGATGCTAAGCACACTTATCATCGGCAGTCCAAAATCCGGTTTTCAGTTTGATTCGGGGTGACCTACTCCTCGAGGCTAGTGCGGCTAGTGTTTAGGGTTTAGGAGTTTGCGTGGGAAGGGGGAGGGTGAGGGGGCTCGGGTTTAGGGCGGTGAAATGGAACTTCACGCTTTATTGTAGCCTGAGGTTGATGACTTTGTGTCCTGGTTCCCACCCAACTTACTCATCTTACTGAATCGACAAGTCGCGAGGACCGAGAACCAAATCTGAATCTGAAGCTAGTTGCACTTTCCGAAAACGTTCCTCGACAGTGTATGAGCTTTCAGCGCAGTTCTCGATTTTCTGATTTAGTTGGGGTTTTAGAAATTCTGGCGTTTGGTTCTCAAAGTGACTTCAGCTGTAAGGGCTTAATATAGGGACCTTAATAATTAGAGTAGGGTTTTGAGGCCCATTAAACAATAATTATTATACGGACCCCCAAAATAGTATAAAATATGATTTAGGCCCCTATACTAGGGTCTACGGCTTGAGAGTCTGAGGTTTTCGTGGTTGGAGTCGGACCTCGTCTTCCTGAGGCTCAGCGTCCTCTTGGACTGGAGTGGCTGTGTCCTTGAAAGTTACAGGAGTTTAGGGTTTAGGCATTTTGTTCCCAAGGTTAGGGTTTAGGGTTAGTCCTTTCATGGTTTACGGCTGCAGCTGCTTCGTTGGTTTAGGGTCTGGTTTGTCGCATCTGCCGCTGCATTCAGTAGATGTTCTCTCCAGCATGAAAGGGCTTGGGGCTAGGATCTCCGGTCGTGACATAAACCTTGATGGAGTAAACGTTTCAAGGTTTCGGCAACCGGTGAAGGGCTCAGGGAGTACGAGCTTTTGCTCTGCGGTCTGCATTTGCAGCCTCAGTGACATGGACAGCTAGCACTAAAAACCCCGCTAAGTCCGAATATATGTATGTATGTATGCATGTATGTACACATGTATACACATACGTATATTATACATATACATATATACACATATGCCTTTGTCTACCGACCCCTTCATATCAAACCCCACACAACCCAGTAAAGCCCAACTGCTACAGAGCTCTAGCATAGAAGAGAGGTCTGGCGGCGTTTAACCCTTGGCATTGGGTTTAGGGTTTAGGGCTCAGGCTTGCGAGTCGCAACAGGAGGTCCAGGTAACGGAGTTTCGGACGTGGGTTTCGCTAAGCCCCTGCGGAAACTCTGCAAGCTTGGGGGCTCGCGGACAGCTCATCACTAATGCTGTCTGTGTTTAGGACTCCTTTTATTGTCACTCGTGCTCGACAAGTCAGACGAGGTTTATGGGGAGCATACAAGACAACACGTGTTCACATTAGGACTCCTACCTTCTATTGTTGATCCTGAAATCCCTAGTAGGCCTTAGACCATGGTTTCGGGACCCTGTACGCATATGCATATATGAACATGTAACACACACAGAGACGTACGTAAATACATACCTACTTACATACAAAGATACATAGATATATATATATATATATATATATATGTACATAGATACATAGAAATGTAGATACATACATACATACAGACAGACATACACACACATAACACACACACATGCATGCGCGCATGTGTGCATGTTCGGTGCAAATACATATGTCCGTACATTCTTCTTGCGGACGCAACGAAGGAAGGTCTTCGCCAAGCGAGTCTGAGCATGTCGCGTGTTGCGACACGGTGCCTCTTATGAGCACTGAGCCATGACAGGTTTGTCAATGGCGAATGCACTACACTCTACTCGAAGTCGTCTCATCTTCTTCTTCCTGGCATGCAACATACCAGATCAAATAAGTTTCTGCAGGAATAGCAGCGATCTCGGGTGCTGTGCATGCGCGAGCTGTACGTGAGTCGTCAAGAAGCAGCAGAGTATCGGCACTTTTCCAAACACAAACATAGTGCCACTATAGTGCCCCTGGTCGACGGTCGCTCCCCGATGTAAAATCAGAGCTGCAGCCTTAAAGCGACGAGGATGGACATCAAGATTGTGTGTATTGCAGAATTGCGGGACGTGGATGTCATCGAGGAGACCAGTGATGGGTCTGAGATCCTTGCCAACAGGTCGTTGGCGCTGGGTGCGCATTGCACGAGTGCGAAACCTGAGGAGCTGTATTCCAAGGGTGGTGACGTGTTGGTAAGGAGCAAGTGCATGAGTCTTGGACTGCTTATGCCAGGCCCGAACACAATCGGCCATGCTGGTATGCCCCTGAATCGGCAGGGGCAGTGCATGATGCAAGCTTCCTTCATCATGTAACTGCAGACCGTGGCCTGCATCCATTCGGCGGGCTTCCCACCTCCCCTCGACGGAGGGTAGCCGCAGTCTGCACAGCATATGAGCAAGGAATTCGGCAGCATCATTTTGCACAAATAACCGTGGCCTTGGACTCATCATCATCACCCACTGCAGGTTATGGCTTGGATCAAAGTTCTGAGGTTGGCGCTGGATTGCTCCCCAAAGGTGACACAGATGCCCAAGAGCAGCCTGATCGCTCGGCTGAAGGATCCCTAACACATGAAGAATGGCATGTAAGGCACTATTCATGTAGCATGTGGCAGCACTCGGATTTGCAAAGCTGACTGAATGCAAAGGGAATCCAAGGAGAGAGCATTGAGGGGCGGACCTCACCAGACTTGGGCCTGGATGCTCTGGGCGAGGCCCGAGTACGGATGACGATCCCGCCGAAGCCGGGCGGCAAGCAGGTGGAGCGCTGCACTGCCGATGAGATCGTTGAAAATAGTCCACAATTTGTCGCCTGGCCCTCGTAGCTGAATTTCCACCAGGAACTGCACCCAATCCGTTTGATATGACTCCCGAAGTTGTCTCATGGATTTGAAGGTCTTGATGGAGTCCCCCGTGATCAGCTCCTCCATCTCCTGGATCATGGTCAAGACTTCCTCGGTAGACCGGGATTCCATGCGTTCGGTCAGCACCAGTTCCTGCTTGATCGGGCACCAATGCATGTAATTCCAGCGCCCCAAGCTGTCCAACCACTGAAGGCGTTGTGCTGTGACCTTGGTCTCCTCGCTCTGCTGAAAGGCCTGTAGTCGAGTCTTCCACTCTTTGAGCAGTCCCCGAATCATGATCTCTCTGAGTGACATTGTGAGCTTGGCCGGAGCAGTTTCCATTGTCTGTCGCCATTCCGTCGCAAGCTGTAACATCATGGGTAGCGTTCGGTTTGAAATACAGGAATAATCTGGTATCTTGTTGGATCACGTGCAATTGCTGCTCGTGTCTCAGCGCCATCCGGGCAACCTGCAACAGCAGGCTGCTGGATGATTCCGTCGCGGTCTGGCTCGGCACGGACCAACCACTCATGCTCCACGAGTCCGGATCGGTCCATGATTCCAGGGTCCAAGGATCCGTGCGATTTGCCATCTCGGAGGAAGACGGTTGACTCTTGTTCTTGCCCTTGCCTTTGCCCTTGCCTGCATGCTTCCCCTGCCCCTTGACCTTGCCCTTGCCCTTGGGCACTGGCGTCATCATGGCCGTCGGTCGAGGTTGTGTGGCTTCGTTGGGTACTGGAGTCATGACGGCATCCTTCTGTTCCGGCCGTGGACGCTTCTGCGCAGCCTGACCACTCGCTGCCGTGTTGCTGAAACTGGAGAAGAGGTGGCCGAACATTTCCAACTCCTGTTGTTTGGCACTGGCCGGAGCTTCCGTCTGTGGCGGAAGCGAGGCTGTCATGTTGCCCGTGGCTGGCAAGGTCATGGCTCCTATTCTCAAGGTAACAGGCAATGGTTATAACCGGACATCGTTTCCAGTGCTGTTGGAGGTCGAAACGTGTGGCGAGGCAAAAATGACAGGGCTTCGTGAGGGTTCGTCGCAGCAATCGCGCCCTCTTGAGAATGAAATCCTGCGAGGTGAGCCACTGTGGATGCTCATGCGCTAAATGGACTTTGAGACCTGCTGGAGAAGAGCACCACTGTGAGCACTCAGGGCAGTGGTGGCGAACCTCATCACGAAGTTCGGGGTCCTCCATAACAGCCTGCCATCCCCGAGTACGTAGCTGCTGCATGAGTTCAACACGCTGCACCATTGGGACCGCGGCAGCTGGACCAACTCGTTTCTGCCATTGTGGATTATGAGCTTCAGCCGGGGTACCAGAGCCGGGCCTATGCAATCCGAGTGCAGCCGTTGCTTCATCCTGCATCTTATGTGTGTGGATCGATTCTGAGGAGGTGGCTTGTGCAACGACGGTGCTAGCCTGAGGTTGAGGCTGTGAGATGCTCTGCAAGGTGTCAGCCACTGCAACGGGTTGCTCCGTGGGGGTGGATGCAGGCGTGACACTTGGGGCAATGAGCGAAGCATTGGCCGGACCTATATGGACAGGAGTAGCGGAGGGTTCCGGCCTCACAACCACTGAAGCAGAGGCTGGAGCTGTTACAGATGCTATAGAATTGGTATCCGGATCAAGGCGCGGACACCATCCCTGCTCGATGTGGGCCCGTAGACCAGTCCACCTTGAGAAGTGTTTATGACAGAGCCGGCATATAGGGAGACCCGCAGTTGAGTGCTGCAAACGATCGAAGCTGACCTGGTGCCGTCGAGCCGGGGCCTTGAGTCCGTGAGCTGAAGACTGATGCATTCGGAAAAGCCGATAATTTTCAAAGACCGCTTGGCAATCGGGGCATGTAAAAGTGGGTGCAATGGGAGGTGCAAGTATGGACCCGAGATGAGAGGTAGAATCGGCAAGTAGCTGGTGTTGTTTCAACCAGTCAACGGTATCCTGCTGAACAGCTCCTCCACACTGCAACTGCTGCAAATTGGCAAGTAGTCTTTCTTGTGACTTCTGCAGGATGTCACGTACAGATTTGACCTTGAGGCGCTCGTGGAGAGCTGCAGTCGTTTCATGGGTGAGATGAGAGGGGGCTTTTGCGACAGCGCGAAGCTGTCTGGTGGCAACAGCCTGTAGCTGATTTATCTGCTTGTCCGTCAGATTCAATACATGCAAGCCGTACGTTAGAACAGCAGGTATACAAGCCGCCCATAGTTTGAGTCGGAGATTCAATCTGGGGGCATTTGCACACGTTAAGAGCGGCCGAAGGTGCCCATATGCGGTCCATGCGGCTTGTATGCGATGTGTGATGGAGCTAGCTGCTGGCTGCTGATAAGAGATAATCAGGCCCAAATATTTGTGTTCATCTTTCACTGGAATATTGAACAAGCGTCCGGCTGGAGTGCGTAGAGTCAGGAGCTGGCCAGCCTTGGTCTGCTGAACATGACGTCTCTTCCATGTGGCAGCGAAACCTTTGGTGAACCGTAACAAGAAGGCCGACTTGAGGGTATTGATGTTGAGTTCGGCGTCAGTCAGCACATCAAGTAGGTGCCCCAAATTAATGAGGAGTTTATCAAGTTGTGCAGTGGTTGTGATCAACTCGCCGCCATGAATATCGTCAGCAAAAGCGGTGATCATAGCTCGTACCCAACTGCGATCCCCTATGCGATCACTCAAGTCTTGAAGCAGTACAATTGTTGCCATACTCCACACTAATGAGGAAATCCTGCAGCCTTGGCGTAAGCCGCGTCCTGCTGGGATCCGCGCTTTCGCGCCCTGGATCGTCAGATGGTAG